AGAGTTCACGAAAGAAATCTGCCTCACCCGCTCGGTTTAGGTCTTAGGAGCTCTCTAGAAGCGTGCCCTAAGACCAAGGTGAGAGTTCACGAAAGAAATCTGCCTCACCCGCTCGGTTTAGGTCTTAGGAGCTCTCTAGAAGCGTGCCCTAAGACCAAGGTGAGAGTTCACGAAAGAAATCTGCCTCACCCGCTCGGTTTAGGTCTTAGGAGCTCTCTAGAAGCGTGCCCTAAGACCAAGGTGAGAGTTCACGAAAGAAATCTGCCTCACCCGCTCGGTTTAGGTCTTAGGAGCTCTCTAGAAGCGTGCCCTAAGACCAAGGTGAGAGTTCACGAAAGAAATCTGCCTCACCCGCTCGGTTTAGGTCTTAGGAGCTCTCTAGAAGCGTGCCCTAAGACCAAGGTGAGAGTTCACGAAAGAAATCTGCCTCACCCGCTCGGTTTAGGTCTTAGGAGCTCTCTAGAAGCGTGCCCTAAGACCAAGGTGAGAGTTCACGAAAGAAATCTGCCTCACCCGCTCGGTTTAGGTCTTAGGAGCTCTCTAGAAGCGTGCCCTAAGACCAAGGTGAGAGTTCACGAAAGAAATCTGCCTCACCCGCTCGGTTTAGGTCTTAGGAGCTCTCTAGAAGCGTGCCCTAAGACCAAGGTGAGAGTTCACGAAAGAAATCTGCCTCACCCGCTCGGTTTAGGTCTTAGGAGCTCTCTAGAAGCGTGCCCTAAGACCAAGGTGAGAGTTCACGAAAGAAATCTGCCTCACCCGCTCGGTTTAGGTCTTAGGAGCTCTCTAGAAGCGTGCCCTAAGACCAAGGTGAGAGTTCACGAAAGAAATCTGCCTCACCCGCTCGGTTTAGGTCTTAGGAGCTCTCTAGAAGCGTGCCCTAAGACCAAGGTGAGAGTTCACGAAAGAAATCTGCCTCACCCGCTCGGTTTAGGTCTTAGGAGCTCTCTAGAAGCGTGCCCTAAGACCAAGGTGAGAGTTCACGAAAGAAATCTGCCTCACCCGCTCGGTTTAGGTCTTAGGAGCTCTCTAGAAGCGTGCCCTAAGACCAAGGTGAGAGTTCACGAAAGAAATCTGCCTCACCCGCTCGGTTTAGGTCTTAGGAGCTCTCTAGAAGCGTGCCCTAAGACCAAGGTGAGAGTTCACGAAAGAAATCTGCCTCACCCGCTCGGTTTAGGTCTTAGGAGCTCTCTAGAAGCGTGCCCTAAGACCAAGGTGAGAGTTCACGAAAGAAATCTGCCTCACCCGCTCGGTTTAGGTCTTAGGAGCTCTCTAGAAGCGTGCCCTAAGACCAAGGTGAGAGTTCACGAAAGAAATCTGCCTCACCCGCTCGGTTTAGGTCTTAGGAGCTCTCTAGAAGCGTGCCCTAAGACCAAGGTGAGAGTTCACGAAAGAAATCTGCCTCACCCGCTCGGTTTAGGTCTTAGGAGCTCTCTAGAAGCGTGCCCTAAGACCAAGGTGAGAGTTCACGAAAGAAATCTGCCTCACCCGCTCGGTTTAGGTCTTAGGAGCTCTCTAGAAGCGTGCCCTAAGACCAAGGTGAGAGTTCACGAAAGAAATCTGCCTCACCCGCTCGGTTTAGGTCTTAGGAGCTCTCTAGAAGCGTGCCCTAAGACCAAGGTGAGAGTTCACAAAAGAAATCTGCCTCACCCGCTCGGTTTAGGTCTAAGGAGCTCTCTAGAAGCGTGCCCTAATACCAAGGTGAGTTCACGAAAGAAATCTTCCTCACCCGCTCGGTTTAGGTCTGAGGAGCTCTCTAGAAGCGTGCCCTAAGACCAAGGTGAGAGTTCACAAAAGAAATCTGCCTCACCCGCTCGGCTGTTAACACATGACGAAAATTTCGTGTGATAAACAATGTATTATTAATGTGAAATAACAAGTACAAAGTTCTTAGCTGAAATAAAATTTTAAATGAGACGCGTTCCACGTATTGGGTATAGCCTTTCCCGTCAGGTGCTCCAGGCGGTATGCTCCATTTTGCAAAATCTCTACAACCCTGAAGGGGCCTTCCCAATTTGCAGCTAATTTTCCCGCCGATCGGTCTCGTCGGGCTTCTGCTGTTTTTCTCCACACAAGGTCTCCTTCAGCAAATTGTCGCGGTTTGACCTTGGTGTTGTAGCGCCTTGCCAACAGTCTCTTTTTAGCCTCCGCTCGGATCATAGCTACTTCTCTCCGCTCGTCCAAAGTGTCGAGCTCCACGCGAAGTTCCTCATTGTTATCTTGGAGATTTTGGACCTCCCTTCGAACAGTAGGCTCGGCTACTTCAACTGGTAACATTGCGTCCATTCCGTATGTTAAGTTGAATGGGGTTTCCCCCGTTGTACCATGCGGGGTGCAGCGATATCCCCACAAGACCTCCTGAAGTTCATCTACCTAGAGGCCCTTGGCTTCTCCCAGCCTTTTCTTCAACTCGGATACGATGACCTTGTTGACCGCTTCCACTTGGCCGTTCGTTTGAGGATGCTCTACCGAGCTAGTGACATGCTTAATTCCCAGCTTCTTGTAAAATTCTCCCAAGCCCTTGTCAATGAATTATCGTCCATTGTCTGTAACTATGATTTTGGGAATTCCAAATCTGCATATGAGCGTCCACATAAATATTTGAACCCTTGCTGCCATGATCGTTGCGAGCGGTTCTGCCTCCACCCACTTAGTGAAATAATCAATTGCCACCAGTAGGAATTTCTTTTGCGCTCGGCCCACAGGAAAGGGTCCGACAATGTCTACTCCCCATTGCGCGAACGGCCATGGTGACATCAAGCTGTGCAACTCGACGGGTGGAAGATTGAGGTTCTTACCATGCTCTTGACACTTCAAGCATTTCTGCACAAATTCTTTGCAGTCTCTCTCCACCGTCGGCCAAAAATAGCCCGCTCGTATGACCTTGGCACGTAACGCTCGCTGCCCTGTATGCATTCCACACACCCCCTCGTGCAACTCCCTCATCACATATTCAGCTTCCTCCACGGATATGCACTTCAACAAGGGTGATGAAAATCCTCGTTTATATAGGTCTTCCCCTATTACCAAATACCGAGCGACCTTCTTCGCCTCAGCCCCTCGAACATGCAAGCCATTCTCCTGCCTTTGAATGACTTCCCTTATATCTTTCCTCTAGTCAGGCCGATCGGAGACCTCGTGAACGGCCAAACACTCCACCGACGGGTTCATCATGACCTGCCTTATAACTGATGACAAGTGATCATTCCCTTTGCTGTTGGCGAGTTTGGATAGGATATCCGCCCTCGCGTTCTGCTCCCTAGGCACATGTTTGAATTCCACCGTCCGGAACTGCTTTACCAACTCCTTTATCTTATGAAAATAACGAAGCAGCTGATCATCCTTGGTCTGGAAGCTCTCCGTTAGCTGTCCTACCACCAGTTGGGAATCCGTTCGGCATTTGACCGCGACAGCCCCCAAGTCCTTTGCCAGCTCGAGTCCCGCCAGCACTGCTTCATACTCGGCCTGGTTATTACTTATCTTAAACCTAAAGACAATTGCCTGCTCGACAATAAAGACGTCCGGTCCTTCCAACACAATCCCTACTCCCCCACCAGACTTTTCAGAGGAGCCATCCACGTAAAGGATCCATTCAAGATGCCCTTCTTCTTCCCAGGGTAACTCGACCGCAAAGTCGGCCAAATGTTGCCCTCGGATAGACCCTCTTGGTTCAAACTGGAGTACAAATTCAGACAACTCCACAGACCATCCTACTATCCTCCCGGCCAAATCCGGTATGCGCAGGATCTTCGCAATGGGGTGGTCCGTTCGGACTACCACCTGATGACTCTGGAAGTATGGCCTTAATCGCTGCGCTGCCATTACTAATGCCAAAGCGATCTTCTCAACTCGCTTGTACCTGGTTTCCGCCGGTTGCAACGTTCTGCTAACGAAGTACACGAGTTTGAATTCGGGTTGCTCCTGTACCAACGTCGAGCTGACCGTGTCCTCCGAAACCGCTAGGAATAGTTACAACGCATGTCCTGCCTCAGGTCGCCCCATGACCGGTGGGCTGACCAGTATTCGTTTAACTTCATTAAAGGCTTGCTCACACTGGTCGTCCCAATCTGCTCCCGTACTCTTCTTCATAATCCTTACTATCGGCTTTATCCGTTCGGCCAACCTTGGAATAAAGCGAGATAGTAAAGTCAGTCTACCCACCAGCCTCTGAACCTCCTTCAGCTTCTGCGGGCTCCTCATTTCCAATACCGTTCGGCACTTATCGGGGTTCACCTCGATGCCTCTAGTTGTTAGCAGGAATCCCAGAAATTTTCCCGTCGGCACCCCGAAAGTATACTTGGCCGGATTAAGGCGCATGTTGTACTTTCGAACCTGGTGGAACACTTCCGCCAAGTCTCTCACATGGTCTTCAACTGAACGGCTTCTCACCAACATGTCGTCCACATACACCTCCATGCATCTGCCGATCTGGTCTGCAAAGACCCTATCCATCAACCGTTGGTACGTGGCTCCTGCATTCTTCAACCCGAACGACATAACATCATAACAATAGTTAGCCCGCTCGGTGATGAATGCTGTCTTGTCGCTATCTGGGGGAAACATAGGAATCTGATTATATCCTGAATATGCATCCAGGAAACTTAGCACATTGAAACCTGACGCCCCGTCCACTAACGCATCAATACTAGGTAGTGGGTAAGAGTCCTTCGGGCAGACTTTATTCAGATCCGTGAAGTCCGTAAACATTCTCCACTGCCCGCTCATCTTCTTCACCATCACAACGTTTGCCAGCCAGGTTGTGTGCTTGATTTCACGGATGAAATCTGCTTCCAACAACTTCTTCACCTCAACTGCCACAACCGATCGCTTTTCTTCCCCCAATCTTCTCTTCTTTTGGGCCACCGGTCGGGCCTCCTTAAATAATGTCAGCTTGTGTGACAACCCTTGGATGGATTCCTGGCATATCAACTGCAGTCCAAGCAAATAAGTCTTGGTTTTTCTTTAACAAAGTGCCAATTACTCTGGCCTGATCTTCCTCCAACTCACTCCCGATGGTAGTAACTTGGTCCTCCTTCTGCCCAATGCTGAAGGGCTGTCTCCCCCAACGGCTCTATCCGATCATCCGTATTAGTCCGCGGGTCTAGATCTGCCATCGCTACCTCCGATTGTCTTCTCCTCTGCCGATTGGGTGGGTCTGATGACGGTGGCTGAACCTTCAAACCCGCCATATAACACTCCCGTGCGATCCTCTGATCGGATCGAACGGTACAGATTTTCCCATTATCCAATGGAAACTTAAGCGTGAGGTGAGGTGTGGAAACAATTGCCCCGAACGTATTCAGACATGGTCGTCCCAACAGCACATTGTAAGAGGTACTCGCATCCACCAGCAAGAACCTGGTTTTCACCTCCTTGCTCCGTTCGGTTCCCAGGCACGTTCTGAGATCCACATATCCTCTGGTGTCTACTCTCTCCCCTGAGAACCCTACTATCTGTTCGTTATAAGGGGCGATCAAGTCTTCAGAAATGTCCATCTGTTGGAATGTCTTCCAGTACAGAATGTTGACAGAGCTACCCTGATCCACCAACACCTTTCCCACACTATACCGGGCAATAACTGCCGTTATCACCATCGGGTCATCCTCATCCGGATCGAGAGCGTGGAAATCCTCATATGTAAACGTGATTGGCGGCATAGAACGCTTTCTCACATCTACCCTGTGGACGCTTTTAAGCTCCCTCAGGTTTCTCTTCCTTGCGGACGCCGACGACCCTCCCGCAAATCCACCCGAGATGGTGTTTATCATTCCTCGCAGTGATCGGTCATGACTGCGACTTCTACTCCTCCTACGGTCGGGACGTCTGTCCTCTCTCCTGTCGCTTCTTTCCACCCTAGTCCTTCTGGGTGGACTTCTCGTCTTTCGTTCCTCCCTGACAAACCTCTTCAGATGACCCGCTCGGATCAATTCTTCCACCTTATCCTTCAACACCGTACAGTCCTCGGTGTTATGTCCTATGTTCAGATGATAAGTGCAGTGTTTAGTTCCATCTGCTTTAGGTGATGACCGGGAAGGTCTTACCTTTATTAAATCTGCACTCAGGGCTTCCTCCAGCACCCTTTCCCTCGGCACATTCAATGGGGTGTACCGTTCGTACCTAACCCCCCTCGGGCCATCTCTAAACTTCTGGCCCTTTGGCCGTTCGCTTGGAACAAACGGTTTCTTGCCTTCTTTTTTCTCCTGCCCCGAACTCGTACCTTGATCTTGTTGTCGTCTTTGGACCGCCCTCATTTCTTCTATCCGAATGAACCGAGTGGCCCTTTCTTGCAACTCGTCCAGGTTTAACAGGGGTTCCACGAACAAGTTATCAGCAACCGGGGAAGGTCTCAGCGCAGTAGCCAAAGTACTGATGGTAAACTTCTTGCCTACCCCCCTCACTTACCGAGCGGTTCTATTGAACCTGTCCATGAAATCCCTAAGACTCTCTCCCTTCTCCTGCTTTATGTTAGTCAACTCTAGATACGTCAGATTTCGCGCTCTACCCGCCGAAAACTGCCGTTCAAACATATCCCTCAAGGTGGCAAAACTATTAATGGTTCGGGGTCTTAACGAGTGGAACCTGGCCAAAGCTTCTCCTTTTATTGACAAAGAAAAAACTCTGCACCACACATTTTCCCTAGGGGAGTAGAACGCTCTATCCGGAATCTGCTCCTCCATGATCACTACTGTGAACGGATGCAATGCTCGAGCCCGACCGGCAGGGGTCGGGCAGTTTGCAGTTCGATGTGAGCCGGCCTCACTCTGTTCCCCCCTGATAATAGCTACCAGGATTGGGATCTGTGTCCTCCTCTGAGTCCGGCTCGGTTTCCGGCATCTCTACAATTGGCGGTGAATGAGCGCGCGCGGAGGATTGGCGATTAGCTTGCGCCCCTCTAGCCGCGTCACGCTCGGCTCTCAGCATTTCGATTTCCGCCTGCATTGCCTCCATTCTCCTTCTCATCTCCTGTAAAAACGCTGCCGGGTCCTGCTCCATCCTTACGGTCGTAATAGGTTGTCTTCAACTACCCTCGGCCCCACGGTGGGCGCCAAAATGTTTCTGCTGAATGGGACCGGGGAAAACTCCTGCTACCTCCGTCCGGAAACACTCCTCCTCCGATCGGTCTTCCTTTTCTTGCCTCCTCCGCGCTCGGTATCAGTGCAAATGGGTTGACCTGCAGCAAACACTCCGACGATCAAGTCAAAATGGGCTCTCACAAGTCTATAATTATCAAAAGAACAGAGAGTTTACCTTCTCCTTTAACTATTATTTATACAATTTCAGAGAATATTTCCCATTAATTTACCTTTCAATGGCTTTCAATGCGTACTTTAAGTACTCGACAAGGACCGTTACCTCATTAACTACACATTCGTGAGCATTCAACTGCTGTCTCCAGCCCGTAATTTTACATAACTTCCCGATCGGATGCGTTGTGCTTACGAGTTCCGATCGGACATACCAGGTTTGGGACACCCGATCGGTTGTGTCCCAATCTTCTCGGTCGGTTATCCACCCTCGGTACCCTTGGTAGTAACAGTTTGTATTAATTTGATTTCCTTTATTGTAATACATAAAGTTTTGCATTTTGTATAAGATTATGAAATAAAAGAAAAATAGTAGAATTAGAAATCTTAATATATATAATGTACTTGTATTTATGTAAGAGACACTACATTAAATTGAAACAACCTTAAAGCCTCCTCAAAATATATAAAATATAATTAAAAAAATGCAATATAAAATATGAAATTAGGTTAGCCAATAACTAAATCATATTGAGCCCATTAACTAATTAAGAAAACGGAGGTGGAAAATTCAGGGCAAATATTTAGATACAGAAAAGCAATCAATGAATGGTGTTTTATTTAAAATAATTAACCTCAATTATTTTATGAAAGTAACGTGTGTTTGATAAGGTAGAAAAGTTTAGAATTGATTTTATTTTTTAATTCGAAGATCTAGATCTTAAGAAGCCGACACGGTTGGATAATTAATGATTCACAATTTCTTAATTCGTGTTTGACTATAATGTTGAGTAGTTATGGAATTAATATAATAGTTCCCACACATTATGCTCATTTAATATAAATATTTTAATGAAGCCTCCAAGAAAAGCCTTTTTGATTTGCTAGGGTTTATGAAAATGAATGTTCTGTAGCTACTTAGATTGCTGAATCAAAGTCTGGAATGCGACTTGACTGAGCAAAAGGATGAAAATAGAAATGAGAAAATTTGACAGTTATTATGAGGTGATGTCGATAAAGATAATGACTGTGTTCGCCAAAGTCTACTGTTCTTAATTACGCATGCCACAACCATAAGCAAAACACACTTCTTTTTCTTATTAACCAAGTAAACTTTATACGTCACAGTTTTGCACCAATTCCACATAAAACCCTATTAAGCTGTCAGTTAATTATAACAACTTTTTTATTATTATTACAAACTAAAAAATAAACATTTTATAAAAGTCTACTTATTAATTAAAGGGTTAAATATGTTTTTAGTCCCTAAACTATTGGCCGTTTCTGGTTTTCGTCCCTCTTCCAAAGTAAGGTACAATTTGGTCCTCATTCTTTAGAAAAACGTTCGTTTTAGTCCTCAAAATTTTGTTTTTAGTCCTCGTTTTAGTCCTCAAAACGTTAGTTTTTTCGACTAAAACGAACGTTTTTTAAAGATTGAGGACTAAATTGTACCTTACTTTGGAAGAGGGACGAAAACCAGAAACGGTCAATAGTTTAGGGACTAAAAACATATTTAACCCTTAATTAAAAGTTGTTAAATCTTACAAAATAATTTAAAACGGGATATTATATATATAAGTTATTTGAAATTTCACTCTAATTCATTTATCCAAGATTAACTTTAAGCATCCATATTTGGTGTGACTAAATATTTATCAATAATTTGATAATGACTAAATAATAAGTGATATAAGAGACTCAACAAATTTTACTATGAAATAAAATTTGATATCATATTAGATCAATAAAAGAAATAACCTATCTCATGTTCTTTTTACTACAAAGCATGAAATTTTTTTTTATTTTTTGAATTTCGTCTTTTCTCTCACGTCTTTATTGTTTCTTCTTTTCTTTCAAGTTAAAAAACAATAAACTCTCATCTCTTCCAAGCCAATGACTACTACTATTGTCGTGTCCTATCATTGTTGCATTGTGCTTCAACAAGTTTATTTTTTTCTTTCAGGTCATTCTTCAACAACCGATACAACCAGTTAGTGATTTCCCCTTATTTTCTCATGTTTGAGGTTTTTGTTTGTGGAGAAAGCTCTCTTTGTAGTTGTCTCTTCTTGCCATTTGGTGTTTTCCATCTCCTCTGCAAATGAAGCACAATCGAGTCATTGTTACTTTACTGAATGTGCATTGTTAGTCCCCATAGTGTTTTGCGAATTTCCCTAGTCAACTAAGTGTGTTGTCCACGGTGCTTTGCGATTGGGGTGCGATGTTCTCCATGGTGGTTTGTTGATGGTTCACTAGTGGTGGTTCGATGGTGTTTGTTCGTCGATGGTCTTTGGTGGTTCGTCGTTCTCTCCTTTGCACCTTCACATGGTCACTTTCAATTTTTTTTAGTTAAAGATATTACATCGGTTGGTCCAAAACAGATCTATTTTCAGTATATATTAAATCGATTGTACAATCAATCATGTCTGACATATTACATCAACGTATATTAGATCGGTTGCGAAACCGATCTAATATATGATCCATAATCGATTTAATATATATTTATTTTGTACTGGTATAATAAAACTTTTTTTTATTGGATTCTTACTAAAAATATATTTTTGAAGCCAAGACCATTAATACTCAAAAGAAGGTTTTGGAAACTTTTATCTTTTTCTTGAAGGCGTAAAGCAAGAATTTTACTTAAATCTTGAACTGATCATGCATTTATACTCTATAAATTGACCTAATTATTATGAAATTTCTAATATGAATTTTCAGAAATTAAAAAAAATTTCATTTTTTCTTTCAATTTTTATTTTTTAGTGAGTTATAAATTAACAAGTTGTAATTTTGTGCGGTGGAAAATAAAGTTGCATTATTTACATATTACTTGGTGGTGTCTCTACCTGGAGTAGCTTGTAGTAGTGTCAAAAGTTGTCACCATCGTCAATATTATCCACAAAAAAGTCTTAACTATTTAGACAACTTATGAAAACCAATGAAAACGTATGAAGCACATGGTATACTATATATGTGTTTGGTCTATCTTTTATTTGTTCCTCTTGTACGCTTACTCAACCAACTCTATCTACCAACATCTGTATAAAGTATTCAAATAATAATAGTCTGAATCAAACAGATTGATTAAAGTAATAAATTACAAAACTTCTAGATGGCAGCTGCAAAAGATTAATGTATTTCCATCAGCATTGTAGTGCACGGCACTGGCTATTTGCAAATTTCTCTAGACTTTATGCTCAACTACAATAACAAATTAATTTAATATAATCTCTATTGTTTACAACAATATTAGTTATATATTAAGATAATAATTTTTTTCAACTGTTACAATATTTGGATTAGTTTCCCACTTATTGAGAGTTTTTTTTAATTAAGTATTTGATGACTATAATTAAGACAGCTACACATTAGTTCGTTATCTTTTATTTTTTGTCAAAAGCACACCATACCCTTAAACAAGTTGATTGAATATTTTGCAAGTAACTCAATTCAATGAGTATAACTTCATACCAAACGTTTAGAAAGTGTAGAAATAAACGATAATCACATCCTTTATTAGATATATATGCTTTTGCTTGCAATTTTTTTACTAAGGAATTAGAGTTAGTTTT